GAACTTTACATTTCAATTGACTCAGTCCAAGACAGCAGCTTTTGGCAAAAGTTATTCTGCGTGGATTTCAAGGAAGGCATTGTTTTGGGTGTTGATGCTGGTTCCTAGTTAGCCGGACCTATCTGCCAACAGTTACGTGGGAGCCAAGTCTTGAGTCCGCTGACAGTTTGCTTGATGACAGGATATATTTTGTCTTCTCCTCGTTCCTTGCTTGCTGATCCAGACTGGAAAAAAGCTAAATTCACGGCTGCTGTTGAGGTCAATGATGTCAATATAATGGAAATTCGCCAGCCATAAGATTGCACCTAATATTAAACCAGTCGGAGAGATCTTTCCCACATCCAGCATCCGTGAAAACAGCGGTATTGAGGGAATATCGAGATCAGACATAGAACAACCCATTTTTTTTGGCTGTTAAAAACAGGTTTTAAATAAACAAAAGCTGGTGTGAGTCGATCATTACCCCAAAAGTGGTTTCCAAGATTTGGCGCGTGGTGAATATCTGGTCATTGATAGATTATCTAGGTCAAACGTCACACTGATAAAGGTTAAAGGATAAAGGTTAAGTCTCAACACATTTTTGAAGATACATATTTTCCGAAAGCCAGATTGACTTAGATACTGATACTAGCGTGCTACCTCAAATAAACTCATGTAATGGCTGGGCAGTTCACTGTGAACTAGTTAACGAGATGCTCCATCTTCCGTGTTCGCCTCCTTCGCTTACCATAAACAATTATGCATCGCAAATGATAGGTCAAAATGGTAGAGACTCGATGGTAGAGGAGTTGGATTGAAATTTCAAAATACTACCTGATATTATCAGGCTATTGATTCCCTGGAAACATTGCCTACAGAATGGACTCGTAGAAGGGTTATACATTCCATTAAATAATCTCTGTAGGCGCTGTAAAGGTAGGAAAATCTCTATGGATGTACCACACTTTAAACGAGTGTGTTCAAGTTGTTCAGGCTAACAGACTATAGTGAAGAGGTTGAGACTAGCAAAAATAAAGTGTGTCAACTAAATTGACTTGTTTACCCGAGGTCAAAAAACTAGATCTGGAGAACTTAAATCGTAACAAATGGAGCCGCTTAGCAGCCAAATTGTGCTACTGCTCAGCAATTTCTTCAACCTAATCAGAGCAAAGACGATTTGCTGTTACAGAAAGTTCCACAGTAAATTTGCTTAATTTTTAGCAATCCCTGGCCTGCCTATGAGAGTCTCTGTATGTATTGTACATATGTATTTTTGCATAATTAGCAATCCAACATATTTTCTGTCACTTGATTTTTGAGCTTTTATTATTATTTCTTTTTTAAATTACAATATTCTTCACATCTTGTTGTTGCGTGTTGCTACTAGTTGTTGTCAGTACATTTTGATTGCGAAATAATTATACGAAAATGAATTTCATAAACATATACTCGTATATAACAGTGTAGAGGCGACAAGTGAAATTAATTTACAATATATTTTAGTGGCATGAATTTGGATACACACATACCCATACACTCATATACCAACGCATATGCGATCAAATTTTGACTGCACTGAGTACTACCGAGCGATGCAGGAAGAAAAAAACTGCAACATTTTCCAACAACGAATGAGCTGCCCAGCAGCATTTCTTTGCCCATTTCGCCGCTTGAGGACACTTGAATTGTGGCCAAAAAAAAAAAAAATATTTGTGTTTTTGTATGTATTTAGACAGCTAAGCGCTTACAATACCAAACGCGACAGCTCAGTTGAAGAATCTGCGCGCCAGTTGGCCCAAAATGTTTTCGAATAGGCTTGGATGACTGGGAGGCTGGTTAGTTGGGAGGCTGACTGGCTGGCTGACCGCATGTTCGGCTGATCGATTGTGTATGCGCGCTAGTATAGCACGTGTCTATATACTTGTATGTATGTGCGTGTGCGCCTCAAGACTGACCACAACCGCCATGTGACACATACAAATGGAAATGAATGTATGGAGGTGGCCGACAGGGCGTTGATCGGTCGATCTAGGCTGTTTGGCTGGCTAGCTGGCTAGCTGGCTAGAGCTCATTGCCGCTTAGCTGCTTAGCTGGTTAGCTGGTTAGCTGTCTATTTGGCCAACTGGGCCGTCAGGGCTGGCTGACTTGTTTGTAGCAGCAACAGCAACGCCAGACGCAGCAAAAGTGTCGCCGCCGTCACTCAGCCGAAGAAAGTCTCCACTGCACAGGCGTTTCGTATCTGCACTTACACAAATGTATACCACTGCCAACTGTCTACCCTCCCTTGTGTATATGTATTTTGAGGAACTGAACCTTTTGGCCAGAAAAAGAATTTATTGTTGTGATTTATTTTGATTTCCCAACATATGCCCGGCACTTTGTCCACAAACTATTCTTATAGACAGCGCAAGAGGCTTTTGCTTTGAGGTGAATACTCTTCTTTCTTCTTACCGTATATTTGTCAGTTGGTCAGTTGTTGCCCAGCGAAATACATACATACATATGTTTATGCAGTTGAATAAGGTATTCGCTGCCCATTAGTCATGGCGGCGAAAATTATAAATTGCATTTCACTCCTCTAATCGCTGTCGTCTATGAAATGTTTGTTGTTGCTGTTATTTTTTTTCATTATTTCATTTAAATGCAATTGATGTCGCATTATGCAGCAGAAATGTTGTGAGAAATGGAAAAATATTGTATATTCGCTGGCATGCAAAAATAAATGTATTCGTTGGGAACTATGTCAGGGAGGCGTGAATTTCAGTAAGAAATACGAAAAAAAAATTACTTCTTTTTTTAATAAAAAAATAATAATTTAATTAATTTAATTGCACTGAGTATGAGCAAATTTAAAATACCTAATTTTTAGAATTTTAAGGTCAATAAAATAATCGTAAAAGATTTTCCCCTAAAGCTTACGCTCTGAAATTTTACACAGACCTCGTTTACGGTATTTGAGTAAAAGAATATTTTTTAGTAATATTTTATTATTATTTTTTTTTTTTAATATACTAAGGCAATTGACACAAATCTTTTAAATTGAAATGATCTCTCGCCTTCAAAATTAAGGCGAAATCATTGAAGGTGAAGTTCTTCGATCTTACTATTTGCATTTGCTTTGTTTACGTTTTAATTTCCATTGTAAACTAGCAGACCCGGCACAGTTGGAGGCCTTTGATTATCTCCAGGATTAATGAGAATGAGATCAAAATCAGTGTAGGGCGATATGGTAGTAGACAACTAGTTTTTCAACGCAAAGACATACAACCTAGACAGGTTGCAGACAACGCATACTGGCTGTGCGAATAGCATGGATCCAGCCCTTGAATTTAATTTTGGGCGCTCGTGTCAACAGGTACTTCTTTTAGTTAACCTCAAGAGTAGACGAGGACTACTCTCTCTCCTTTGTGAACATTGTGAACATACCTTTGTTTAGAGCCGGAGAGCTTTCACTCGCTTTTGGAAAGGCAGCAGAGAATCTATTCATCAAATTTCACCTTTAAGATAGGCTTGGATCAAAACGAACTACCAACCTTAATAAAATCCGAAGTTTTCCTTAAGGCTATGCATACTTTCAGTTTTTAAATGTTCATGGATGGGCATGAGTTGGAGCTTCATAACCTAGAAAAAGTAGTTAAACGGAAATAAAAGTTTATCTCAGTATTAGATTTCCCTTGCAATACAGCACGGGCTCGAGATGGGGAAAGCTTGAATCGTTTCTATCACGAAAGAAAGTTCTGGAACCTGTATTTTTCTGGAAATAGTGTTAAAGTCTTTTCTAAAAGTGATAACTAGTTGAGTTTGAGCGGAGGAACTCTGACGAATTCGGTTTAAGGGCTCGACATGACAACCACTACAAACGTTTTAAGGAATATGATTTGCATCACTTTGGTAAGTTTTGCTAAAACATTTCAACAGATATACTGTTTACAGTTTTGATTTAAATTGTATGTATAAATAGGAAACTATGGTGTGTCAATCATGGTCAAATGATCATAAAATCGAGTCTTATGATTTGAAACTGTTTGTAATGTTGAAAATTAGTTTGATAAGAACTGCAGTGATGTGATGTTTAAGAAGAAGTGTTCGGATTTAAAATAATTAAGTTAAAGATCCCTATAAATTAAAATTAGTTTGCTGCGATATCACATCATATGCCATTATATGGGATGATATGATGTGATAAACACCGTATGATGTGATACAATATAATATCATATGATTTGAAACTGTTTGTAATGTTGAAAATTAAAGTGATAAGAACTGCAGTGATGTGATGTTTAAGAAGAAGAGTTCTGATTTAAAATAATTAAGTTAAAGATCCTTATAAATTAAAATTAGTTTGCTGCGATATCACATCATATGCCGTTGTATGGGATGATATGTTGTGATAAACACCGTATGATGTGATATAATATCATATGATTTGATGCATAGTAAAATGCTAAGATCACCTAATGTTTGGATTTATGCATGTCATACGTGTTGTATAGTGATTGGAAATTTTTAAGAACCAGAGTTTTGATCGTTTCATGAATATCAATTCATTTGATGAGAAAAGCTGACAAGGATATTTTGCCAGCATATGAAAGAAGCACAATAGGCTTTTCGCTCACTAACTTATAACAGCAGCACTTTTATATTTCACATGAGGAATAACAAATAAATATTGATCTCTCAAGAAGAACTCAAAAATTCATATTTCTTCTTCTTATATTTTATTAATTTTTATTAATAATTTTTTTTTTTTTCAATTCTTAATATTTTTTTCTGGTTACATATATTATATATTAAGTAGTCTATTTTTTTAATTTTTATAAAAGCTAAATGCTAGACTTAAATTATTTTCCATAAAATATATCAAATTCCATACACACACATGTATTGTACATGCGTGTACGTAGATTTGTATGTATGCACACCAATCTATCACAACAATGAAAAGATGCAAATAACAAATTTTTGCATTAAATAAAATGTCAACAACAAAATAATATAATTAAACAAAGCGAACCCTTGGATTATGGGCGGACGCATTTCGCTTGCTGTAATGGCACACAATGTTGACGATCCAAGTCCCAGCCAAAACCGAAATGGCAACGGCGCACACTCAGGTAACCGCTAATGCAATGGAAATAATATTCACAAATATTGGGATGTGGGAATTGGTGATCGAAGCCAATAGTACAAGTGGGACGCTCATAGCTTGGTATCAATGACAAAGAGGGATTCTCCGCCAAAGCTGTGCCGCTGGGACTCTTGTTGCCCGATGGAGGCTGAATGCTGTTGACAGGGCGGCGCGTAGTTTGCGGAGGTGCAGATGAAGTCAATACGTCCATTTCAAATGTTATTGAAGCTGTCGACGCTGTTGTTGCTGCGGTTATTGTGCGGCCCACGGCGCATGCAACTGAGGTTTTGTCGCAGGACAATACATTTGGATTGAAGTATGTGTCAGCAGGGCATTCCCCCAACGTGGAGCGCAAGCCATTGCATATAATATATTGACTGCAATTGCCGGGATTGGCCACAATTGTGCCCTTCGCAACATCGTTGCAATTTTTGTGTGACACAAATGCTGGCGCGCCGGTAGCTTGTTGCAGCAATGCCGTTGCTATCAGCGAAAGTGTAATTGTAATTAATTGAGTGGCACAAAAGTGTAGGTGTGTATGTGTGCACATTGTGTGTTACGGTATTAGAAATGAATATAGACACAGTTTTGAGAGATAAAAAGAAAAAATACTTGTTTTTCTTATCTACAAATCAGCTCTTCGTGCAGACTGAATCTTACTACGCTGAACTGTTTACTGTGCCGTTAGTGTGACATTTGCGCGCTTTAAATACTCGTTAGCGTTCATGCACGTTAATTGTGACGTCGTCAAGGTTGCTAACTGAAGCTCAAAGAAGCCAATTATGAAACATCAATAATTATTGTTACTCTTCTTATCTTTTTGTATCTCTCAATCACATCTGGCTTTGCGGTACTTCCCATTAAAATTGTTTTGTTTATTATGAGCTTTGTGTTTGTTTGTTTATATTGCAAATCGCAGAGCATTACTGTCAATATATGGAAAGGAAAGGAATATTAAATTCGGCTTGAAGGCAGAGCAGTTGTTTTCATAGTCCTTGAGAGACTTTATGTATGATACTCTCTTCATGCAGCTCTAGGCCAGAATTATGATCGCTTTAATTGTTCACACCTCAGATCGAATTACAAAATAATTTAAAAAATAACCTGTAGATCTTGTCCACCATATGTCTTTCTATTCATCAATCAACCTAATGTCAACAGCATTAAGCCTTCAAAAAAATCAGGCTGATGACGTATGTACGAGTGTATACAGGTTCGACATTACTTGAGAATACTCAGAGCCTCGCCTATCTTAGCACCATGTTACTACCCCAACCAACACTGGTTGACCAGAAAATCCGAAAATTTCGTGGGTTGTTTTTGATGCATTCGAACCAGAGGTAAAGAGAAGTTAGATGAGTACGTATTATCGGACTTACAAAGTAACCACTTCTTCCGGCGAAAACATAATGGCTGGTTTTTTTTAATCCGATAAGCCCATTCAATGGAAGAGAATGGATGAGGCGTTGACCGACTCTCGACAAAGGGAATATATTATTCTTTCATATGTAGCGTCTCTGTTATCATATTGCTGAATGGAGTCCTTAAAGTGAGGTACATTTTTTTAAGCGTTTCAATCGTCTCCGACTTCGAAATCGGTCCGTCGTCTTTAAAATTCAGACAGGGATAAAAGCTGATAAAAACCATTAAAAGTATCAAATAAGAGTAACTCTTTCAATATCAAAAAATGCTTTTCAGGAAGGCCAGAAACTGATTTGACTTTCATTAAGTTTTGTTGAGCTGTAGGCAGACTATAAATGTATGTATATAATTGGCGCTTTGTAACCGCTGAAACGATTTTCGGCCGAGCTTCTCCTCCATTTGTTGAAAATGGAGAGACCTACAGTTTATACTAAGCCGCCTCTGAACGGCTGATGGTTTTTTATGGGGAGCTTTATTTCATGTCAGAAATACATTCGGAGGTTTTGACAATCCCTGCCAGGGGCGACCGCAATCATAAAGTTTTACTTAATTTTTTATTTAAATTAATTTTCTATAAATTTTTGGACGTTACTACGACACAAGGATTTGAGCCCGAGCCTTTCGAATGGCAGTACGCTAACCGCTCGGCTACCGCGGCTGCTATGTAAGTATATGTACATATATGAGTAATTTAAAAAATCAGAGGCCACCACGTTTCCTCATCAGGTTCCTTCATGGTAATCTAATCCGAGGTGGATCCGAGTTTGAGTTATCCGCAGTTCAAGCCGATGGTAATACCAGTAAGCTCTGGGTGCGCCGTCCAATTTCCACCTGTCCGTTATACTCCAATTACTATTTTGCTAATAAAATAGCCATTTTATTTTAACTTAAAATATTTCGTAAGTGTGTTCAAGGCGCAGAGCTCAAAGAATAAATATACATACCCATAAATTTTATAAACACATACCTGAGCAATACAGCTTTATTTTATATGTGAATATATTAGGGTTGTAATAAAAGAAATTGCATACTTTCAGGCTGAAGCAAATTTACTCCCACACACATACAAGTAATGTTATTTATTTAAATCGGTAAAATAATTAAAATGAAAACTTAAACAAAAAATTTAAAACTTAATATAAACGCCTTCTCGCTGCCCTATAGCACTGGACCTCCTTGAGCGGCAAACACTTATGCTGCTGAAAATCCCAGCCATAACCGAAACTGCAGCGTAAAATACTCAAATAACCACGCGAACAGCGGTAGTAATACTCACAACGTTGCGGGTAGGCGAAATACTCATCGGCAGTGGGTTTGCATTGTGGACGCTTGGAAGGCGCTGTTGTTGAAACCAGCTGAGTACCAGTATTCGCACCAACCGTGGTACGTGTTGAACTGATTGTTGGGTGCGTCTGGGTTACTTCATTTTGTTGTACCATGGTCTCGGTAAGAGGTGTAGCAAGGCGGTTACAATGCAAGCCATCATCTATTGCGCATTGCTGCTGTTCTGCATCAAAGTAGGTATCGGTTGGACATAAATCTGTGTACGAGTCATCACCCATACAGTAAATGTAACCTAAGCAATTGTTTTCAACGGCAACAAATGTGCCATCTGCTGTATTTTTACACTCCTTGAATGACTCGGCATGGATGCAGAGGATGAGTGGAACGAAAAATATAAATTTTACAATGTTTGTATGCATTTTGATTCCCGTTTCAACGCAACGCACTTGAGGTTTATTGACTTCTAATGCCATCTACTAATTTATGAGTCTTTATATTAGGTCGAAGAGAAGGTCGCTGTTAAAGAAGTGACTGCGTTAACATTTGCAGCACGCCCCATATCGTTTGTTGACTTTTCAAGGGTCGTTACTAGATGTTGTTATCTTTGCTGTTATCTCTAATCTGTAGAAATTCTTAGACCGAAAGTTGTGTTCTTCAAAACGGTCCATGAACTTTTATAGTATTTTGATAGTGCAAAATTTATTTGTGTTAAGGCCAAAATAGAAGTTGTAAGCAATCAGAAAACAAGTGTATTTTATCAACATAGGAAGAAATGTATATGTTATACGTAGGTTTATGGTTTATTACTTGTCATATAGCAAATTGTACATTTAAAGATACATATTAGAATCGAAAAATTTAAATTTTTTTAAAAACATAACATACATAAGTTTATGTAAGTTCCATTTTTAAGCATATTTATTTAACTAAATTTTTTTTTTTGACATTCACTTGAAATTTATATCGCTGTCCTAGAGTAATCCACTTCTTAAACTTGTAGCATTGGACGCTTTTCCTTGGCATCCAAATTGGAATTAGTCGTAGCATAACCAGTGCCGCCCTATTAAAAATAGAAATTATTGTCAGATAAGCCAGCCTTTTAATTATATATATATTCTATGAACATTAACGTCATGTAATGTCTTACTCTTTGTAATGGTATAATATCCTTTTCAGACAATTTCTGATTCGTTAGCGGGTGTATCATATCCTTTTTAATTAATTTCTCTACGCACTCCATTGTCACCACATCTCCACTGAAATGAGAAAGAATAATTTTTAATTAAAAAAAAAAAATATTTTATATACAATTCAAACTCACGTTGGTCGCAACACAGCACAAGGTACCGCATTACTGAGCACATCATGCGTTACGGGACACATATAACGTGCCTCTTTTGCTATAAGCGACCGGCTATTATCGCCGTCTTTAAGAACAGTAAAGTTTACATCAATCAAATCTTTTATTTTCAATGGTTTTCCTGAAACAGGGCAATGGATCGTAGATTCTGGTTTCTTAGCTTTTACTGCTCCAGCATTTGGGCACTCAGATGGAACCCAGAAACTGGGTAACTTCTTCTCATTGCCATTGGTCATATTTGAGATGGAACCACCAGCCGCAGCTATAGCAGCCGCCGATGTACTAGCTGTAATAACGGCTACTTCAGCAGTTTTTGAACTATTTGCAGTTTCATTTACAGGTTTACCAGCATTCACAAATTTTTCAATACATTTTTGCTGTTTTAAATTCAATTCCTGTGCATTTTCTGTCTCTTCGAGGCGACGCAAACGTTCGTATTCCTTCAGTTTTCGACTATATTCATTTTTCTTTGTGATAACGTATTGCAGTATAGCTTCCTTGTCGAAGAGATAACCATCTTTAGTTACCACAGGATTGCGACATGGTTGCAGTGTTAGAGAACAACAATCAAAAGATTTCACTGAATCTTTACCAAGCCGTTGTGCTTTTGTGCCATAACCAGATTCCGCAGCATCGCGACGCTTTTCATTGTAAGTATACACAGCACCTGCTGTACAATTACGAGCATGTCGTGTCATATTTCACTCTGTTTACTTAGTATTTAAATAAATTACTTAAAGAAACACTTGGAGAACTTTGTTTAAACGCATATAAAATTGTAATGAAAACAATAACAGAAGTGCTGCCGAATATATACCTGCAGGATCTGCTGTAAGTGCGGCCAACTTCGCACAAGACAACAGTAATAACTCGTTTTGTGAAACAATCTTATGTGCAAACCGACTTTCAAGCAAGGCGAATTCGCTTGAAAAGGCCGCAATGGCGAAAAGGGCGAATATTGGAGTTCCCAAATATCACAGCACAAGCAATGCAAGGAAAAACATGATCAAAATAAAAAACTACTTTTCCTAAAGAAATTAATTTGTCTAAATACCTAATTTCTAGATTAATTAATTGGCGTGTTGTTAAATTTTACTCCTTCTTTTTCCTGACACTCATACTTTCAACCAGCAGTCGATAGAAGAAAATTTACACTTTATCTGAATTCGCCGTTATTGTGTTTTGTAAAAATATTTGTTGTTTTATTTAAGTCATCACACGCAACCCTTAATAAAATGTAAGTAAACATTCAGGCCTTTTAGGAATATATGAAGTGCACGCAAATTTCAGGGAATATATGTACATTGGTTTTGTTAACATCTGGACTTTATTTTTAATTGATATCAAAAAACACATACATATATAAAGATAACAACATTTATATACAGTATAAACTAAAAACTACTTGAATACATAGGCTCATGTATGCGTATATGTGTAAATATATATATATATATATTTAAAAGTTTTCGATGCTGTACCCGTCGATGGAAGCAGAAGAAGAGGAGACCTCCACTCCGTTGGAAAGGACCCGGCTGTAATTGGCGCCAAACATCAAAAAGAAGAAACGAATGCCGCAATGTTGTTAAATCGGCTATAATTGCGTTAGCGGTGTCTACGCCAGTGAAGTTTTCTTTTTTTTTTTTTTTGTTATAAGTTAGTGAGCAAAAGGTCGGTAGAATGGGTAGCAGATAAAAATCCCTGGATATTTTAAAAGTCATCAACAAGATTCATTCCTATTTGTCCTTAGCTGGCGTACACATTCTTCAATTATTCGCAAAATAACCTCCTTTGTCTCCTCCGAGGTGAAGGGGCGGTTTATGGGCGGTACATGAATGAACAAAGTTCGTTTACTATCTCTATCAAGAGATTTTAAATATATGTATCCACACAAATAGTTACCCACATCAACAGAGCTTTGCGCAACTGTGATCGGTAAAGGCTCTACTTCGAGAACACTTTTTATGGCTTCATCAGTAGCAATTGGAGCGCACTCACATGACTCAGCGATAACTTGTACGATTTTATCAACATCCAAACCACAATACAAAATATCCTTAGTTTTCGTATCTGTGTCACAATTCGTTAAACAAGCTGAACCATTTGGCAAATATTGTCGGGCAAAATCAGGTCGCGTAAATTTATTATTATATGCCAACTTTTCAACATGTATGCAGCTTGCGTTTCCATGTACTCCGCAGTGAATAACAAGCTTTAGAAACAAAGTGATAATCTCTATTTTGAGTTAACTGATGCAAATAAAACATATTGTTATACATACGGCATACCTCTGGCTTTCGTCTCCATATGTCATCCACAACCTTGTCCACCGCAGCGTACTCAACTTGGATCTCCTGCTTTTCTAGTTTATAGTGATGACCATGCCATTTGAGTTCATCTGGTAATAGACGTACGGCCTCCCAACTGGCATTTACATCCTCGTGACCAACAAATGGCCCAAATCCAGTCACTATAATCAGCTCTTCGTCAGCTTTTGTAACGGCTAATATCTCTTCTTGAAGCTGTGCCATGTCTATCGTGCGTTTTCACTTTTTTCACTGACAAAAGGCTCTTACTGTGGAAACGTAACTACTGATTAGTTTATTTACTTAATTTGTGTTGATTTACTACTTTATTAGTATATGAGCTTGCAAGACTTATTTGGCGTAGTATGTGTCAAAACTTTAACCGTTATTTGTTTAAGTCAGGTCCAAAATACCAGAGATGTTGTTATTTTACTTTAAGCTAGAGGGTTAAGACTAAAATGCATCCTTGTTTTTGACATTTGAAAATAGAAATGCCATTCGAAAAGGTTGTGTCATTTTTAACACCTGTGCCCATTGTTTGACGGCAATATTTTACCTAGTAGTTTATTGGATAAATAAAAAACGGACTTCGAACTTCATATGGACTATTTTATTTATGTTAAAGAAATACAAAATTTTTGGATAAGAATCTTATTAAAGAAAAACGATAAAACGAACAATTACAAACAAAACAAGTTTGGAAGATTTGACGTATCTTAAGAGAAGCTCCTTTGGTAGGGGAAACAACAAATCAGTGTAAATCAATAAACTATATGAATAATTAAATATTTCCAGTAATGAGAGAATAAATGTGTGGGCTGTACTAAAGGGAGGCAACAAAACAATCGTAAACTATTTCAACTAAATAAAATCAAAGTAAGTTGCTCATAAGTTTCAATAGGGGTCCACCGTTTTACTTCAGCTAAAACTTTGTGAATTCAATTGGCAAATCTGTATTTACTTTCTTGCCTAAATTATTTCTTATATTAATAATGTCTTATTTATTATGAATAATATACAATACATATTATTTCAGCTCATACTTCATAAATATCATATCCCTTCTTACTTATCAGCCGGTCAATACATTTCAACACCTTACTATGTTGGGAGGACTGCGTGATTTTGTTGTAAGACATCGTAGAAAATTCATTGTAACTGGCGTTTTAGTCGGTGGCTCATATATAGCAATCAAATATGCGCAACGTAAGCTGATAGAATTCCAGACACGCCAAGCCCGTGATTTTTTGGAAAAATCAAGGCGTATGCAACATTTCGAAACGACGGAAAGCACATGCAATAAAGTAATCCTTGGTATGGGGACTGAATTGTATGCTGCTATATTACGTGAATGCAATTCGGATGCATTACTAGAACAATTGCGACAAAACCCATCGAATAAAGTCGACTTGTGGGAGGAAATGAAGATTGTCGCTTTTACACGTCTCACGACCTTTGTTTATGCCTCGACAATGCTAGTAATTGCTTTACGTGCGCAAATAAATTTACTTGGCGGTTATTTGTATCAAGATGTGACGCTGGAAAAAAAAGAGATCTCAGAAGATCTGAAACAACGATATCTCTCACTTATAGGTAACTTTATACATGAAGGTGGATTGAGTGAACTAATACAATTGATACGTTCAAAAGTGATTGCTATGATGAAAACTGTGCCGTTGACAAAGCCTTTTAACCTCGCAGATATAGAACAACTCTTCTGGTCACTACAAATTTCAATCAGTAGTGAAAAAGATGATCCCATTAAAAATATGGTCAGGTTTTTGTTGCCTATGGAAGTGCCAGAATACAATAGATTATTAGATATAATGTTTAGTGATACACTGGACGTACTCGATAATGTTGAAGCTATAACTGTATGCGCAAATAATGTCAGCAGAGGCTTTTCGTTGGCAGTAGATGCAATTGCCGAAGGTATTTTTCAGTCACAACATGAGACTAATGCAGAAATCAACAAAAAAGGCATGAACAAAAGTGGCGATGGTGATGCTTCTGCAGCAGCTGTGAATAGTATGCTCAAACTAAATAAAGTCGAAATACCTTTAGCTAAGCTTATACCGATTATAAGTGGTCTAACATCGAAAGGATTCGATGAAAAGTCACGACCACAAAATTTAGCCACTTCTTTGCTTACATTCTATATGATTGAGGAGAAGACTAAAGTATTCGGAGCAAATATATATGAAGTGTTTAGCTCCAAATAAATGTAAATCATATTGTATTATATACATAAATATAGTAGATATAAAAAAATGGTGTTCTAATGTAAGGGTCTCTGGCACCAAGTAATGCTTTCAGTTTTCCTTCGCAAATTCCATAAAGTACCATCTTTTTAACTTTTGAAAATAAACAGTAGGTCAAAAATAAAGAAAAGAAATGCTAAAGCCTATAAAATTAAGAGGGAAAATAATTAATTTCAAATTTTGTGTTATAAATTAATTTTGTTGTAAACAAATAACATTGAGGTGCATAATGTAAAACGACATTTGTGAAATTATGTCCTTTTTATACATATGTAAAGAAAAAAATAACAGTTCATTCCAAAATAGCGTGCGTAACCAACTAGTGTACTCTTCACATCAATATATTTATTTGTATTATTATCTTTATATTATAAATCGAAATTATTATTTATAGCTATTCCAAAAAAAATATAAAACGTGTTTTAATGACTGGAGATTAATGTTTATATTAAATGTAAAAAATAGTCTTATTTTGTGTTTCTTTGGTTCCGAAGGGTTTTAAAGATTTTTTACAAAATGAAGCATACTTTTAGGCTTAATCCGCTTTGATTGTCGTTAACGTTTAGTGAAATCTTCTATATGTACATGTACGCATATATTTACGTACACATATAAAAAATTATACACTGCAAATAAAATTACTTATTTATGAATACAAAGGAATGGAGCACAGCTGTTCATAAAAAATAAATGGAAATATGGTTGTTATAGTATAGACTACGTTGAAATGCATCATTGACGATCAAAAATTTCATATTGCAATGACAATTAGTGGGCGAAAAATTTTATTATTTTTCTAATAAAGTTAAATTTTCATACTAAATTTTTTGATTTTTTTCTTATTTTTTTACATATTCCTTTTTAATATCTTCTCCTTTACTGCCGTGGACACCGCTTATAGTCGAATTTGCAACATTGCGCCAATCATTTCTTTTTTTTATCGCTTTTGTCGCCGATTGGAGATACCAAGATCAGCCAAGTCCTTCTCAACCTGGTCTTTACAGCGGAGTGGAGGTCTTCCCCCACCTCCGCTTCCACCGGCAGGTACTGCATCGAAAACTTGCAACACAACGTAGCCGTGCAGCTGTTGTTTCTTGATTCGCTGAACTATGTCAATGTCACCATATATCTCAGACAGTTCATCATTCCATCGTCTGCGGTATCCCCCGCTCCCAACTCATAGGGGACCAAGACGAAGTTATCTACGCCTTCAAGGTTATGACTGCCAACAGTGAGGTGTTTGGTGACAGGAGATATTTCGTCCTGCCCTAGTTCACTAGCAGACCCATGTGCTTCGCTTCTTTGTCCAGACTCCACGCACACCCTCAGCTGTAATAAAAATAGTTTATTATATTTTATTTTGTTCCACAATAATTAATTTAATTCTATTTCAATTCATTTTTTTAATTAATTTTTGTTTATCTGATTTCATTTTGTTTAATTTTAGTTTTGTTTAATTTAAATTTAAATTTATTTTAATTAAGTTAATTTTGTTTTAATTAATTTATTTAAATTTTATTTAATTTAAATTTATATTATTTCATTTTATTACATTCTGTTTAATTTTATTGTTTTCACTTAATTTAATTTAATTTTAATCAATTATTTTTTAACTAAATTTTATTATATTATATTTTTTAATTTATTTTTTTTTATTTAGTTTAAAATTTTTTACGGTCATTTAATTTAATTGAATTGAATTTTATTTTATTAGTTTTTTCTTTTATTTAATTTAAGTTTGTTTTAGTTGATTTAATTTAATTTCTTGTTTCCCAACTTCACTAAACCCCTCTTTTCTGCTGCCATGTAAACAAAATGATATTATAACTTCTCAGCAAACCACAACAATAAAAAGAGTGGCGACTATGAGACTTCAATGAAAACAGCGACGACGCCGCTGTGTCTCTCACAAAACAAAACACAAATGAAAAGGACATCAGCATAGACAACACAAACACGGGCGCACATATACACACAATTACTACTGCTTACATGCGGATGTAAAATATATACATATGTACATATAAAGGGGTTGTATATGCGGCCAAAAGCATGCTGTAGCAGCTGATATCGTTGAATGGTTCGCGTTGGGCTTACACTGTGGTTTGGCAGGGTGGCGGAAACTGTTGAAAGATAGTAGGCAAATAAGCAGTAACCGTTAGATATATTTGTACATACACATATGTATATAAATCTAGATAGAGCGCCGTGCCGGCAGAGATTCGCTCAGCAGAAATATTCGTTAAATGACAGCTGTGCAAAAGCCAATACGGCGCGAGAGTTGATGTCAAACAGTGAGTGAGCGGAAAACAACGACGGACTGCAAAATAGACGACTCGCATCGCATAGGAATAAAAGTCACTGTAACAGAAGGAAAATTCAGTTAGAAAGTTACGTGAAAAGTCGCCACATCGGCAGAAAATCGTGTGTACGCGTTGCGCGCATCTACTGCAAAAGAAACTATTATCCTTTGCGTTGAATGGAGAAAGTAAAAATAGAAGTGTAAATTTAGAATTGAAATTATTATTTCTCCGCATTCTTACAACGAAAATGTGGCAATGCTGAAATTGAAAAATTGAGGAAAAAATTTTCCGATTAAAAGATAGGCTTTCCAACGCAATATCTACTGAAGTGAGTGGTGATAAAAGTGTACGAAACCAGACAGATATACGTACATATGTATATGCATACAAATGTATTTATATTCACAAACACACAAAAACAAGCCAACGGGCACGCACGTATCGCTGTGTATCCTTTGAAATAAAGACAGAAAAAAGCTATACTGTAAGTAAAATACACTGCCAAGGTATTCCATAATCGACGAAAACGAGGTTAAATATTAAGGATTGTATAAAGCTCGCAACTGAATTTAATAATTTAAGTTTCATAACCGTAATCATAACGGTTGGGTAATCAAGAAAATTAAGAAAATATACACACCCCCACCAAAAGGGTACTGCCAAACGCCAATAAGGTAAATAAGGCAGTCAGAAAGTGGTTCGGGGTAAACGTCAGACGTGGCGGGTGCAGGACCAAAGACAGCCGCAATCAACGGCGGACGACACACAACATACGACACGCCAGCAGCCAATTTCAAGTTTTTAACCTTTGCATTATCGATTGCCCAAAAATTGAAGAATGTAAAGAAAAGAACAACAACAGCACCAAATTACTGTAATGTACTTGTTTCAGCTATATTGATATACGAGTATTTCCACCTTAAACAGCATGTGCCAAGCAGCCGGAGTCTAAGTGGCAATGCCAAGTGGGGAGGCAAAGCGCATACACAATAATTCATATGTGTAGTCACCAATGAACATACATATGTATGCACATACATATATATTTCTATGTACATATGTACTAGATATATTTAATGTTTATACATATTCGTAATTTTGAGTACGTGTGCACTTTGTGGGTGGTGGCCAGGAGTGGCATTGCCTGAAATTCCTGATGAGCATGCCTTTGCTGCGTCAATTTTGATTACTTTCCCTGGTAAACAATTTTTTGATGGTCAAACAATATATTTGCTTGGCTGTATTTGTTGCCATTACATATATTGCAATTACAAGCTTATATGTATGTACATAAATAAACATTAATTTGTTGTAAGTGCTAGACGTCTTGTCCCTCTATACATACGAGTATGTCTGCTCATATATTTACGCGATTGGTAATTTCTTTTGTCTAACTTTGAAGCTAATTTGTATAACATAATTTATTATAATTTACCTAGTTTCACTCATTCGTACACTCCATTTTAAATATATTTTATTTTGATTAGTTTCTTATTTTTTTTTTATTTTTTTTATGTGTTTAATTAAATTTGTTATTGTCTAACATAATTTGTTTTATTTTATTATATTTTCTTTTATTTTGATTTACCTTCTTTTATTTTATTTTATTATAATTTAATTTAATTTAAGTTTAGTTTGCTTTATGTTATTTTATATTATATTAATTTCTTTCCTCGTTTACCAAGTTTTTTTTAGTTTAGATTTCGTTTATTTTTATTTGAATTATTTATTTATTTTATTTTTATGATATAAAAAGGGTATCATTTAATTTTTTTTTCGATTATTTTATTTTATCTTATTTTTTATTATTAATTTTTTTTACTTCACTTTCATTTAATTAATTAAAAATTTTTAAACTTTTTTTATGTTATTTTTTTAAATTTTTTTGTTTTGTTCATATTATTTGAATTCATATTATTTAAATTATTTTATTATTATTATTATTCTTATTATTATTATTATTATTATTTTTATTATTATTATTATTATTATTATTATTATTATTTTTATTATTATTATTATTATTATTATTATTATTATTATATTTGTTTAATTAATTTTATTTCGCTTTTTCTTCATTTTGTCTTAATTCGTTTTATTTTATTTTGTATTACAATTATTTATCTTCGTTGCATTTTATTTTATTATTTTTTCAAATTACTTACTTTTATTTTAAGTCATTTTTTATGTTTTATTTTCATGTAACTTTTTTATGATTTTATTTAATTTTTTATTTTATCTCTATTTTTGCACTTGCTTTAAAAAAAAAATTCGTGAAAGAACATTACGCCGACAGCAATATGTTTTTATCAGCTTAATGACTTAAAACGATTTTAGTTTAATATTATTCTGGTAAAAATTAGAATTTTTCAGTATTATGCCGATAAACTATCTATAATTGCTTTTTAAATATTGTTGTCAGCTCGGATATAAATATGTATGTTGGTCATTTATGTACATATGTATATCACTTTGTATAATTTTATTTTTTACTTTGTTTTCATATGTAGTTATGACGTCACTGTGTTTAATTACCTGTAATCTTTAAATATAGAAATACAAAATATTAATTTTAGGCCTACTTACACAACATATTTATGTAGTATAGTAAATAATTGGGTTTTAATGTTATAGCGCATTAAATTTGGTCAAGTACACACCCTCAGCAAGTAATAGAACTGACAAAGTTAACACTCCATTATTATATTTTATTACACTAGAAGCTTTTGTAAATATTACAAACAAAAAAACGAAAGTAAAGTCAAACGATGTATTATATATTTGTAAACAACAGTGGTATGCCCAAAATCGTACGATTAAAATTTCGTCAACTTGTTGAGAATTACAACATCTTTAAGCAAAGGAGAAAAGACAGAGTCTGACCTCAACCGACAACTCTACCTCTGCTAGAAAAGCGTAAAACGCCTAAGTGCAGAATAAATACTTGTTCAACTTAGTTATTTACTTACGAAAGATAAAACAAATTTACATATCTTACCATAATATATGTCTAACTACACTAATTTAATATTACACCTCACGTTATTACTGTGCTGATAACACAATGGCAACTCTGCTCCGGTGTAAAGTAACCCGACAAGGCTAATTGTTGCTCGAATTGCGTTTGTGGGTGGTAGCTGTTTGCCTCCGTTGTTTGTTGCGAAACATATATAAGGAGTAATTGAAATTTAAGCACGCTTGGGTGTCATCACATCACACTCAATTGAGTCTCCTCCATCATAGTCGGAAATGCCCCTCTGTGAACCACATCGCTCTGCTTTCTTAGTTGTTATCTACTGAAGCATCTATCACAAGGATTGGGCTGTTTTTTGGAGTATTGTATACATCTCAGGCATTGCATTTTGTTCCTAAGAGGGAGTTCTAAAATTAAATTTCTCACAAAAAAACTCAATTCTCTGTAGCATCAGTTGAGTGGTGGCACTATTTGAATCATAATTTGAATTTATTAAAAAAAAGTTAATTTTGCTTCATCAAAATAATCATATACCCGTATGACGGTTAGATTAGATCTTACATAGATCCGTTGGTACTTTGTGGTGCCAGATGGAGGTCGTTTTATTGAGACCTAAAATAGTCATCGTATGTCCTACGCCTTGACGCCTTTTGTGAAATTCAAGGAAGCATTAATATCCAATTTTGAAGCCACCTCTAGCCCTTTGAACTCCTGCACAGCTCCGAGATATCTAAGACAAGTTCTGGATAAGGCTTTCTGTCACTGATACTAATGTGCATTCTGCTGGCATTGGATGTCCGTTGGGTTAACAAGCATGTAAACAAGAACAGGGGTTCTTCCTTTACCGCTTTTGCACATGATCTTGGCGGTTTTTGTACTATCGCACTCTTATCCGGCATTCAGTCCTTTCGGAAATTTCCCCATACAAAGGTTTTATCGACTTTTGTATATCCTATACTGGTTCGCTAGTAAGATTGATGGCACTTTTGGCAAATTCAACAGATATTTCGTTACCTACAATACCCTTGTGGGTTGGAGTCCCCCTGTCGACAAATATATTGATATTATGCAGCTATATTGAAATAAACATTATTTACACGGTTCAAGTTCGGTCAAGCGGAAACTCGGCTTTGAAACCAATAAAAAATTCGACTATCCAAAACATTTACATAGATCTTCAAAACCTTTCTGCTGAAAGTAGATTTTAAATAGATTATGAACAAAACAAAGACACAAAGGACTACCCGGTTTTGTGGAGTTTTTGTTGAACAACTACAATCGATTAAATAAATCGATTTGGCAGCTTGAGCAATAGAGCTTTGCTAAAACTCCTTGTAAAAATATTTCAGAATTTTTTTTTTGTTCGTTTCCATTATGAGCGGCATTTATGTTTTTTTAGATCTGTATAATTCAATTATCGATAAATCTAGAGTCCATATCAGAAAACTATAGACCTTTGGAAAAATTTTGGTGAGTTTTTAGATTTTTTTTTTTTGTAATGAAACTTTCTCTTCATACATATTATTTGATTTCGCCTGCTCTACTGAGTGACAATTTGAAAGACCTTGGAAGAAACATCAATAGAAATGAATTCAGCATCTACAATAGTTTGAGTATATCACGACTACTTCATCTCGCACGTAAAGCGAATTTGATACATCTCCTTATGCATTCACATTCATAGCTATATCCTTCGGTGCGCTTTTAAGCTTCCTACTGTTTTTATTTCTTTTATTGTGTCTTATGTTATGTTACTTTTGTATTTTGTATTACATTTTTCGTTTTTTCACTGTTATTGTTATTATTGTGTTTGCTTCATGTATACCACATCTACAAAGGAGTCAAGTACTGTGGCTGACGTTGGAATGAGTGGATAGTACTGGCACTGATGGATGAGCCAATGAACCAACGCTCCAAGTGCCAACACTAAACTTTTAACAATATTTATCCCACCATCGGCCGCCCCCGCCCATAATAACGTTGACTAAAGACAATATCCTTCACCATCATACCACCGACATACCTACATACAAATGTATATACAAATGTAGAGTGCAGCCTTGTATTGGCCATTGTTACCGAGAAACAATGAATGGGTGAAGTGTGTCCCAGCTGCACTAGTCATGTTATGAGAAAATATTTGCAGCACACCCACATAAAAGTTGACGAACTCATGTGCGAGTCATTACCCAAGTTACCACAAAAGGCAGAGGTGTGTTGAGTGTTGTGGGTATACTGATGGTGTTGAGTAGTACGAATATAGTTTAATATAAGTAATTTATCAGATTATTTAAATCTTGATATTCTCTCTTGGCTTAATTTTGTCGTTTTATTTTTAATGAACAAATTAATCTTTACTCCATGTACATAAATTGTATATATACATATATAAGTATGTAATTAATATAACCACTTTTAATTATTATCACTTAGTCTGAGTACCCCTCGAGGACTATCGATTTTATCGATATTTAAAACTCCATCAGACTAATGATGAATTTTATCCTTTG